AACAGAAAAACAATTCTTTTACAAACAAACTTGAATATAAAACTGCGATCAACTCGATGTTCTACATGTTTTTCGTCCTCGCGGTTTATCAGAACACAATTAAATTAATTAATTTAAAATGTTCAAATTAAGTTTCATTATTTTCATGTTGGTGGCCATAGCGAGCGTTTTAAGCAGTGACGGTAAGTACCTACCTATCTATTTTACCGAAAAAGCTTTAGGCCGATTTTCACCATCAATCCCTAATTTTTAAGTGATCCCTATGGTAACACATACAGGAATTTTGTTTCCATAAGGGTCACTTAAAAATTAAGGATTTATAGTGAAAACGGGCATAAAGTCATCGATATAAATGAACTATGCACTAGATTTCGCCGCTTATTCCCAACGTGTCACACTTGAGGACATTATTTGTTTTACTTATATTCCCTGCCGGTCACACTGTAACCTGTATTTTCTGAGAGTAAACCTTAGAAAAAATATTTTGATTTTTAATGTCAGTATTTTGTTCACTGTTTTTTAACGAATTCATTCTGACATTAATTATTATAACTTTTATTTTAAACCGTCTAAACAATAAAGAAATTAGAAGAAAAGTTTTTTATATTAATCCTAATCGAAGCACAGTTTTACATTTACATTGTGAATACGCATTTTAAGACATCTCACTTGAGATTGTGAGGGGAGGAGGGGGTCTGGAAAAATCTCACCAAATCTCACCANATGGCCAATATTGTCTCACGTAATTAATGGACGCCCCCTTACTCGTTTTGTATGTGGTGACCTGTAACGAACTTTAGTTTTAATTCTTTCCAAAATACAATAAGAATTTTGCTTACCTTCTCTATCCTTTATAGCTCTATGCATTAGGTGCACGACGTTTCACTTTCCCGCCAAAAGGTTCGATGAAAAAATACTTTTTTATTTTATTACACAGCCCCAGCCCCAGATTGCACCTCGCCTCTTGTCACCGGACCATGCAGAGCCGCGTTCGAAGTGTAAGTATTTATTTTCCATATTATACAGGGTGTTAGGTAAATGGGTATATTAATATGAGCCGACACTAGCCCATGTTAACATATTATGCATATAAATGGTATGGTGAAGTCAGAAATTTGATATCACCATTTTGAATTCTTAAATGTTCATACAAAATAAAATTTATAAAATCAGATTTGATTTGTGGGCTAATGTCGGCTCATATACCCATTTACCTAACATGCTGTATAGTTATATTTTTTTTTAGGTCTTACCTTTTTACATTAGTCAATAATCGAACATAGAAAATTTTCTATCTACAGTATTAAGAGTACTTTCCCTCTAGGTGGCATTACAAAATTCCACCCTCTATATTGATAAACTAGCGGCCGCCCGCGACTTCGCACGCGTGGATCCCGTTTCACAACCTTAGGGGTAGAGTTTTGTAAAATCCTTTCTTAGCGGATGCCTACGTCATCTGCATACGATAACATCTACCTGCATGCCTAATTTCAGCCCGATCCGTCCAGTGGTTTGGGCTGTGCGTTTGATAAGATCACTATGTCAGTCAGTCAGTCAGTCACCTCTGAGTTATTTAAATTTAGTTACACTTATGGTTAAGAAATTTATAAAAACAAATATAAGAATAAATCACAAATTTATGAATATTATAGTTATTTAGTTGAATGATTATGAGTTTCAATCATAAGTATAGAAAAATATATGAATTTTTTTTAGTAAAAACTAAGTGTATGATTAGTGATATTATGAATTTCAATGATCATGTTTTTAAATATTATGTAGTTTTTAAAATTTTTATGAAGAATGATCATTATTTTTATTTTTTTTTTATTTTTTTTTTTATTATTAAATGGTATGAGAAATATTTTCGAACCTCCAATGATAGGAATTGAAAAGTTATCTAAGAAAATGCGCATCCGTACACGAGTGCTGTACACGAGCCGGTGTTCTCTTTTATGATATTTCTTAGTACACAGGTCACATTAAATAATCACTGATAAAGATTAATTTATCACTTTTGCCACGACTGTCGGTAATTATTCATAATAACCGGTTATTAAGTTATTATTAATAATTTTCAATTTGTCACATTGAAAATTACCGTAACATACATAATAATAAATTTGGATAACTTCCTTCCTCTCTTTCCAGTTACGGCTACGATCCTGAGGAAGGATGCCAACAGTTCATCTATGGAGGATGTGAAGGCAACGGCAACCGTTACAACACTCTAGAGGACTGCCAAGCTGCTTGCGAGAGTGACGGCAATAAATAACGAGACACAAGCAATCAATTGGGTATTTGACAGCACAGTCAATTGACATACTTTTTTCAAACTGTCAAAACGCACCATTCCCTATTTTTCACACTTTTGCTAAGTCAGCAAAAGTGTGAAAAACAGAAAGGGAAGCAAAGTTAGTAATGCTAAATTTGCTAAGTGGTGTCTTGTTATTATAGTGTCAACTACCCAATGATAATAAGAATAAGAAAAACTTTATTTGACACAAAAAGAAAAAATAAAAAACAGAACAAAGATGAATTTTGATTTACTTAAATGACTTATGGTTTTATCGATATTATTTAGGATGAGAATTATATTGATTTTATTTAACTATTTATTACAAAAACAACAGCCAAAATGATGCGTTTTATTTCTTAAGGCCCTCCTATCAGCTAGTGTACGGTTGAGGATATTGTATGGAAACTGGAGTTGAGTAAACCTTTGGAACCTTTGATACAAAATTAGCAGAACTTCTGATTCCTGGAATTGTTATAGATTTAGCAGGATTTTCTAGGACCGACCATTATGCAGATGTCTCCTTATCCATCAGTGACAGGTATGGACAAGCCTGCTCCAATGATTTCCATAATGGCTGGTTGGTACCTAGTAGAGATTGCAAACTGGACCCGGTCATTATCAAACTCTTTTATTCAAAACTACATGATGTCCATAAAACTAACTAGTGTTGAAGCCGAGAGGGCTTTTTCGGCGGCAGGGAATATTTACAGTAAATTGAGAACCAGGTTAGCTGATAAAACTGTCAATACAGTAATACAATTTGTTTTTTAAAATCATTTTTTCAGACTGAAAAATAATTTGTGAAAAGTTTTGCCTTAAGCAAGTGACGAGAAACTTTTTTTGTTTAAGAAAAACCTACTTTACCTACTTTTAGCAAATAAGCTTTTGGTTATACCAAAGCTACCAAAGTATAAAAATATTACATATAAAGTTGGCTATTAGTTGTTATGACACGTTTAGTACTTTAAGCTGCGTTAGTAAGTCCTTGTTTTAATACTATGCTTTCAAACAGACACTATAAGGAGTTAAGAGAAAGACCTGCTTGTTTAAACTTATAAAAATGAATTAATCATAAATGTCTTTTTCCCTTCATGTAGAGCATTATCATAAAATACAAGTTGTGACAAAATATACAAGGATTGAGGAACGTACCGGGTTACAATATCTAGTTGGTAGGATAGCGGCGGAAGGATACCGCAGATACGTTCTGTAACTGATGAAAATACATAAATATATTAACATCAAGGTAAAATCGAAATTTGGCTTTATTCGTCGTATTTTAATGTGAACCTTTTGTCAATTTCTTTGTTTAGGTGTCGATCGTGATCAAACAAATTTTAAGGAGAAGTATTCAGTAGGTAGGTACTTATAAGTTAAGTCTTAATAAAATATAAGTACTATAAAAATCAGTTTATTTAACATTATACTGTGGCGGGACATTATTCGCAATAAACATATCTTAAATGAGTAGGTAAGTATACATCTTCCCCTTAAACAAGTCTGCAACAGAAAAACAATTCTTTTACAAACAAACTTGAATATAAAACTGCGATCAACTCGTTGTTCTCCATGTTTTTCATCCTCGCGGTTTATCAGAACACAATTAAATTAATTAGTTTAAAATGTTCAAATTAAGTTTCATTATTTACATGTTGGTGGCCATTGCGAGCGTTTTAAGCAGTGAAGGTAAGTACCTATCTATTTTACCGAAAAAGCTTTAGGCCCGTTTTCACCATCAATACCTAATTTTTAAGTGACCCCTATGGTAACACATACAGGAATTTTGTTTCCATAGGGGTCACTTAAAAATTAAGGATTTATAGTGAAAACGGGCATAAAGGGNCACCCCGCACTGTACATATTTTGTTCGCGATGTCTGTTCTATACGTAGTAATATTACTTAAATGATTTCACCTAAGATGATCCGTATGACGTTTCGAGTTTGAAAGATTTAGAGATGTCACATAACTAAACCATAGCGATTTATCTATCGATTTTTTTCGAAGAGTTAGTAAAACCTACTTTTAGATAAATATTTTGTATAGGTGTTATTTAACAAAAAACATGTTTTTTTTTAATTACAAATATTATTGTAACAATTTTTTATTGATAATATTCAAATTTCATGGTTCGTGTTAAAAAAAACGATTCCTCATAGATACTGGTTCTGTTTCTTTAAATTAAAAACTATTAATTTATTTTCAATGTATTTATTAAAATCAATAATCGAAAAATATAGATTTTTGTGATGTTTTTAATAACTAAGTATTCACTGCAATCGATTAATGAACCGCGGAAATAATCGATTTTATTATACAAGAAATACCCCAGCACTAAATCTATTCCGTTTCACACATTGCGTACATTAAATAAAACATATTATTACATCGTATTTAATTAATATATAATCAATAGACTCAGATTTTACTATATATTTCAAGACAAGTAGTTATTTTTTTTAAATCATATTGCTAATAAAATACAAATATTTTTTCAAAAATATTCTGCATACGTAGTATGCGTAATATGGATAACCTTGAAGTGTCATACGGATCATCTTACGTGAAAAGACTATAGTTACATCTAAAAACTTGAGTCATGATGTGATAGTTATTTAAGAATTTGTTTACTTAATGTGATTGATAGTGCCAACTGCCAACTAACCAATTAAAATATGGAAGTAATAAATAAAATGTAGAGATCTTTTGTAAAATTCTTTACACATAATACTTAAAATCTTCACTAAAATGCAACATTTAGTTTCATGGTGTGAAAATAATTAAGCCTTACCATCCTGCCACACAGGTTCCCACTGCTCCATAGGTCCAACTGCGTCTGACCTCCCAATAACCAAGCCGTCTTTGGACACTCCCAAGTACTTCCCATAGCCAGACTTCAGCGCAAACTTGTTCTCTCCTGCCGGGAAGGCTGTGAATATCTCCTCAGGAGACGGGCCTTCTCCGTCACCGTGGGGAGCACCGATAGTAAACAGGCCATTGTCTAGTGCGGAGATATAAGAATTGTTCCCAAACTCTATTGATATCGACCCAGTTATATCCTCAATCCTAGAGACTGTCCACCAACCCCCGTGCTTCATGGAATCTACGTCCACTTCTGAAACCTCCGCTTTCTCTGTCTTCTTGTGTTTGCGTTTCTTAGCTCTGAAATCAATGATTTTGATTGTGATTGAAAACAAAATTATTGTTATTCTGGAGAGGAGTTCTGTAGGTTTTAACAATATCCTCATTACTTACTTGGGTTTGTCTCCTTTCAGAATAAGTTTTCCTCGTTTTACAGCAGCATATTCATCAGCCATTGTTTTGTAAGTTTGTACCTAAGTTTTGCACAGATGATGAAGTTAGAGGTTATATGAGATTAATCCTATGCAGGTTTAGCGTTATTTTTTACTCTTTACGGATGATGTTATTGATGATTACCATTTACTACTTATAAACTAGTTCCCGAGACGATATAAAATTCAGAAAATTCTCAAAACAAAACAAATCGCCTCAAATCAAAATAATTTGACATTTTCTTTCAGATTGTTTCAGAACTTTCAGACATAGAGAAAAGTAATAGTTTCATCTTCTTCTTCTTCTTCTTCTCCTCTATGGCTATTGTGTTTCCACGTTTGCCAATGTCACGTGAGCATAGTCATTACACGGTATAAAAAGTTATAAACCTTGGGTTTGAGTGCTATTAGGTATATGATGACCCACGCTGAACTGTCCCGCCAAACTCAATGACAGGGGGGCGCTACCATCGTTCAACTATATGGTTTCCAACATGGCAAAAATCTGAACCAGCGATCCGGTATTGACGGTGGCGCCCCACTGTCAATGTCATCGACAGGACAGTCCAGTATTTTGGAACTATAGTCTAGCGTGCACACCTAAAACAGACAAATACAACGGCACAGATAAGACAACACAGTTAGTATAAACATAATAAAATCACAAAAAAACAAGGGAACAGACAACAAGGTGAGTAGTAGGAGAGAGAAAGGGAAACAAAATAGTGGAGAGGGGGAGACGTGAACATTTATTATAGTTTTATTTTACTAATTAGGATGAATTTTGATAGAATGTCTAAAATAGGGGAGTTAACAAGACCGAGGATTGACTTAACATACTCTCTAATCTGTGGATGTCATTATGATTATTGGTCAAACTGACAGTGGATATTATTTTACCGTTTACGCACAGAAAAAATACATTTTTCAATAATTAAACTAAAAATTATGAATTTTGTAGTGAAAAGTGTAATTAATTTACTAAAGAGCTGTTTTTCCTTTTCATTTTACTTTTTTTCTGGTTATAGAACCCAATGCTATTACGTGCTCTGTGACCAAATGATTAAAACCGGTATACCGGTAACTAACGACAGAACGACACTATTCTTAGTTGTCAAATGTTTTTTTTAAATCCATAGATAAAGACATAAACAAAATTTCTGTCGCGGTTTTTTTTAAGCCAGGGCTGCCATTCTAAATAAATAAAAATACTTCCTAAGACTGAGGGTAAAAAATAAAGCAAGGACTCCTAGACCACCCCTGAAGAGTTCCATTCAATTCCATTCTCATGAAGAAGAGAACCTAGCTTCGGGGTTCTTGAAAGGACTGAGACCTTGTTTTAAAAATTCTATGATTTTGTAGTACAATAGCCTGTCTCTTCCTGAAGCCGGTTAAGGTCAAACTGACCGAGCGAGGTAAGGTAAAAGAAATGATTCTATTGATTCTTTCCAAAAACACATCCGTCACTAAGCATAAATTTCTGGCTGGAGTGGTGGAAACATCCTCACCGTTTTACAGCTTTGTTTGTCATCTTCAGACTTCACTCCACGTCCACACATCATCTTCGTAGCATTTTATTATCCTTGGTGGAAATAGGCTACGCCTTACAGTTTGACAAATAATTATATTTTATTTGTATTATAATTAATTATTTATTGAATTAAAATAATTAATTGAAAATGAAAAAAAAAATATTGTTTTAACTTTACAATATTAAATTCAGCATAATTATTTGAGGAAAATTTAGTTTAGGGCTGGCAACCCTGATGCACGCTCGCCATTTTGTAANTATTCGGCCGTAACATCAGTAACCTAGGATGCGCGCCGCGATAAGCGGTTATCACGCCGTTTTATCGATTTTGGCCGTACATTTTGACGTCGACAAAGTATATCACGGCGCGCATCTTAGCCCGGCAGATGATATAAATCCAGATCAACTAAAGCTCTTTTCGAAGCTCGGAGTTGCTTATGATAATGTCGCTAAAATGGTACAATCAATCAGTCAGCCACTAACAACTGCAACATATTTGCTTGAATTTGGCGAGGTTCTAAAAATAAGACATCGATAGCTTGTACTATAGCTATGAGAAGCCTATACGACTAATACTGTTATGTGCTTTACTTCGCTTTCTCAATCTATGTTAAACAATGTTGCCAGATTCTGTAAAAATGAGTTTCTTGTTCCCACCGCTGCAGCCAGGATCTAACAGCTTGACCGCCAGTGACAAAACCCATCCAGTGAAGGCCAAGTTAGTCCCGAGGTAAAGTTAAGCTGCTTGTTAAGCCCGCAACCTAATTAATCCGAAGAACATACGAGAATTTTAAAGTTAAAAACAGTTTTCTCGTGTAATTTCTCCCGAATCAGAAATGAGGAGATCCGTAAACGAACTAAAGTCGCTGACATAGCCCAACGGATTAGCAAGCTGAAGTGGCAATGGTCAGGGCACATAGTACGCAGAACTGTCCGCCACGTACCGGAAGCGCAGCGTAGGTCCACAAGGTGGACCGACGACCTCATAAAGGTAGCAGGAAGGCGCTGGATGCAACAGGCTATTGTCGAAATAATTAGGGGAGGACTAGGTGCAGCAGTGGACGCCCTATGGCTGAAATGAAGATGATGAGGCGGGTCTTATACCTACCGCAGCGAGATGATTTCGTCCTCAGTCCTACGGATCAGCTGCACCGGCCCGTTGAACTTTTCCACCATCTCTGCGACATTCAGATTCACGTGCGAGCGGACCACTTCCTTCACCAGCAGCGACCAGGAGGGCGGCATTTGGTTCTCGGCAAGGGGCAGCAGGTCGTCGAAGGTGGCGTCCAGAATCTACAATCATGACATGTCACTGACCCAGTATAACCCAGTGTTTGAACTTGTTTTAACAAAGGTTTTTTGTCACATATGTTGTTAGGGTGACAGACTTAGGCAAGATGGTGGTAGTGGCCTTAGAACAAGCCTACCACAGAGTAGAATAGGACCACACCCACTTTTCCCGTGAATGTGGTAAGCGTTTATAGGCCTAATTGCCTATATAGTAAATAGGGTAGGTTTGAATTCCTGCAGGGAAGGCTAAATGACCTGATGATGATGAACACTTCATACGATGGATTTTTGATCGACTAATAATAGCTTTTTGTAAGTGTCATGGCAGTTTCAATGGAATATGCTTGCCAGCTTGAAATTATGTAACGTCTGGGAAGAGGAGATGATCATTGTATGCTGGTGTGTTTGCAGGAACAGTACTGTGTACCTACCATGAGTTTACGTTAGGTGTGCTCGCTAGCGAGTACGCCAAAAATCTCTTTAAAGATTTTGTTTCTTGAAAGTAGCCGCTAGGGGCGCTGCACAATATGTCATACAATTAAATGTCATTTTTTTACGCAGTCGCTAGCGAGCACACCTAACGTAAACTCATGGTAAGCACACTGGTCATTATATGCGTAAGTAGAGGAAGAACACAGCACATACCAGTCCCCTCATCATGGGGTAGTTGACGGCAGCCCAGGTGGCCGTGTACCCGCCGATGCTCCAGCCGTACATGACCATATTCTCGGGCATAAAGTTCAGCTCGTTGATAGCGTACTGAATCACGGCGTCTATTGCGTTCTGCTCTTGGGACGGGTAAGGTTGGCCCTGTAAGATTGTTTTAGTAATTCGGTAAATTTTGCTAATAAATAATGGCATAAGAAACATTTTAGAACTTCAAAATATTTAAGTGTTTAGTTTTGCGACATAAAATAATGCAGAATTAATGTTTTTGCAGATTCTGTGTGTGTGTGTGTAAAGTACATGCTTGTGTCCCCATATTCGATCTAGAATTGGTATTTCATTCAATTTTATTGAATAATGTATTTTACACTTATGTATTGTGTATTATCATAACACTATAATGCAACTCACCGTGCTCCCTCCAAATCCAGGATGGTTCCAGCCCAGCACGGAGTATCCAGTCTTAGCGGGAGCCGTCATGATCCCCACCTCGTAGAAGCCCGAGTTGCCCTCACAGCACACCACGAGCGTGCGCCCCTTCGCGCTATGCGCCCGATTATCGATAAACATCGTGTCGATGTAGTTATTTTCAGCCGTCCCAACCTTAGTCCTCTGTCCCTCGAACCCCTCAACCAATTGAGTCCTTCCTTGCAATGCCGGAACCCCTATTTTGAGCAGATCTTCATTGTAAACGTCAGAGAGCATTCCAAAACAACACGTGACAAAAGTTAGGCTACAGCAAGCATCTGTGTGGATGACGCAGTGCAGAGCAGAAAAGTAATTTCAAGCGAATAAGGGAAAAACAGCATGTGCATAAAATGCATAATTAAATAAGGTGATATTAAATCTGTTCTGAACTGTGTATCCAGCATAATGAAAAATAGTAAAAAAGGGATACTAAAATATTAATCAACTAGCACTCTCACAAGCGTGCATTCACTAGCTCTAAAGCATTGGTTCCCAAAGGGGAGGAGCAAAGACCTTTAAAGGGGGGCGCGTGCCATCTGTGTACTTAGTATAAAAAACCTGCGAGCGTTGAGAGAATGCATTGCATACTACTCGATACGACCAATAAATAATCTTGACTGGAGGAGGGGGGTCGCGTAATTTTTTGTATGGTCGAAAGGGGGCGCGTCTCAAATAAGTTTGGGAACCAATGCTCTAAAGCGAGACGTTTGATCGCCATATATCTCCGTTGTTCCGGCCACGTCCTACGCTTTATTTAGGTGAAAGTTCTTGTCTCTATAGTCTATAGTAAATATTGGACAGCGAATAGCTGCCAAACTAAAAACTAGGCAAAAAGAGCATTCATAGACTTGAATAAAAGGCAAGTAAAACCCACTAGTTCACGTATTGTTCTAACTATTGGTAAAATTATCTAGGTCTATGTAAGAGTTTAATACTCATACCTACTATGTTAGTGACTACCTGCTAACTACTATAGTACTTTTAGATGTCAGAATATCTCCACATCACTAGTTTTCAGTGCGCCAACTGAACTGGATCACGAAATAAATTACATACCAAAAACCGGTGCCGTCGTGTTAACTGCATAAGTACTTACACAAGACATGGTTGATCAGCGCCACAGAGCCGGGATAGATGAGCCGCAGTCCGAATGTATGAGTGGCGATGTAGGCGAGTGTCTGGATCATGGCTCGTTTGAAGGGGGGCAGGTCGGGGGAGGCGCAGCGGTTGTACGGGCTAGTGAACCAAGGATACCTGGGGGAAAAGCGGGCGAGAGTGCTATGGGAACGCATATAAAAATGTACCAACGTCGATGCATCTCTCCAGTGGTGACAATAGGTGACGGTATCTATGGCATAGCAAGGGAATATAAAGGTTTCATAAGTAGCAATAACATGTTCAAATGTTACTTTAATCAAACACTATTTAAATAGTTCTAAAGAGTGAAAGTATTTTATCTGAAAGTTTCATTTGTCATAAGGCAGCTTTTATCTCCGGAAGGTCACCTCGTCACTGACCTCGTGGCGCACCTCGTAGACTAATTAAAAATCACTGTACATAAAGATAACAACAAAGTAATACTCAATAAACATCATTTTACAGTAAAGGTTGCGTCAGAAGTTTCTATGATCTAAAATTCAAATTCTAAATTGTTGGATCTAGGCCACACTCTAATCATACTTGGGTCCACCACTCAATATGAAGAGAAGTATACTATGAAAAGGCTAAAAGAATTGAATGTTAATAAGTTGTACCTTATTTGATGTAGAGTAAAGTTCATGAAACATACCTCACACGCTGAGGCACTCTGAAAGTGCACGGCCAGTACTTGAAATCGAAGTCGTACTTCCTGATGGAATTCAGCAGCGCTCTTGTATCGTTGGGGGAGACAGCCAAAGCGTTCACAAACTCCACGTATTTTGGGTTCATAGCACGAGCTATTCCCCTCAGAATGACCGCGATCACCAGGAGGCAGCTCATTCCACCCAGACATTGCACCAGGAACAGGGTCTCGAAAGACGAAATGAAGCCACGGCGCCAAGCGTACATTAAGATGAAGGGGGAAGTGTAATAGCCAATGTTGTATAGGGTGTTGGCCTGTAACAAGATTTTTAACATCAAATTTTACTGACCGATCATCAATATCAAGATCACAAAACAAGTATCATTTATCTCTGTATTGTCTACTAAATAATGACTATATCAATCAAGATCCAAGACCACTGGAAGTATGGACTATTAACAATAAAGCACTTAGCCATGTATAGTACTCGTAATAGTAGAACTTACCGAACCCACGAACTTGTCAGTCCATTTTTCGATCCCTTGTGGTTGATAAGGGTTCTGGGGACAAAAATGAAACAAAATTAAATCAATTCTCCAGTGAGTTAAGAGTCAGACTCAGATAGTCTAGTATAAACCTTGGTAATATCAATTATGCAGTGCAAACGCACAAACATGTCACCCAGTTGATTAAAAACCATTTATTTGATTCAAATGTTGGTTCTATTTTCAATAGATTTAATTAAAACAACTACCAATCCAAAATGGCAGATTAATGGGTGTAATTCTAGAAATATACTGAAGAAAAATATTATACAATAAATTCTTCAATTCAGTCAGTGGAAAAGTACAGACATAAAATCAATTAACATGATTCTATGGGTTCAGAAGATTTTTTTTAATCATCCGATAAACATCTCTTAATTAACTTCAGTTCGATCAGTGAAAGAAATTAAATATTTTCTTGGTTTCAATCAATTTATGAGATATAAGCTCATTGAACATAAATCTATTCAGAAGTTTTTTTTTTAATCATCCGATAAACATGTCATAATTAACTTCAGTTCGATCAGTGAAAGAAATTTATTTTCTTGGTTTCAATAGATTTATGAGACATAAGCTCATTGAACATAAATCTATTCACCAGAAGATTAATTTTCTAATTATAGATTTAATAAAACCATGAGACGTTATTAATTGAGTGGGTTGTTCTGGAAAGATTATTGATTGGGTGATTTTTGCGTTGGCGATTGCGATCACGGCCGCCATCTTGTTGGCCGGGTAGACTTTCGTGAAAATTTGCAAGCTCATTAGTAATTGCACAACATGATGTTTTTTATGTTTCAGATCGCTTTAGTTGACATGAAACTATAGTGCAGCAGAGGCGTAAGGAGTTCATATCCGCTTGCCTTAGTATGTCCAGTTGCACCAGTTTTGCTACTTCATAGTTAGCTTTAGCATTCAGCTCTTTATCAGACAATATTATCAATGTAGAAAGGCTATCAGCCGCTTCACAGTTTGTAACATAATCTCACTAATTGAGCAAGTTCAGATAATTTTCACATTTCTTCACACTTGTTACATTGTACCAAATAATTTATTATTTTATCCTATTTCGTCGTTTTTAGACTCTTAATTTCTTGTTTGTCTTCGTTGTTGAAGTTCAGAGAAGCCTGTCTGTCGATGGTAGCGCTCCGAAATAAACTTGTGGCAAAACTGTCAGAATAATTCAGTCTCCAATTACATTTAGGAAAGAATTAATAAAATCATTCTCTGGGACTATCTGCCAGCGTGCTACCTAGTTTTAAAAATAACTAGGTACACATACTAGTGTTTTCAAAATTAGGGCGCTAACTATGGAATACAACAATGTTATTGTAGGTAGAAGATACAATTTAATTTATAAGTTATAATATCATACTTTAAGATTGAACCGAAATGTAGTCTACTCAGCTTGAACCACAGTGAAGTGTAAATCTTGCCATAAGGCTTGTTTTCAGTGAAAACCATAATATGGAAATATAAAATGTATCACAATAAAATTGCCGTGACTGGGTCTGTCTTTGCGTCCTAACAATCAACAAATTTTTAGATGTCCACAGCTGGTGTCCTCAGCTATAGCACAGAATAATAATAAGTACTTGTGGTAAATATGGCTTAATACAATGACTTGAGTAAAATAAAATCAAAATGTAGATACTGAAGTCCATTCCATAATTTGATTTTTTTGTAAGATTTACAAAGATCTGTTTCTGCTCATAAGATTGTCAAAGTTTTATGTCCTTAATATTTTACAAACTTACATCTCGGTTACAGCTTTAAACTCTGAAAATCTGTACTTAGATGGACCTAAATTTGTGTAATAAGCTCTTTTCCTTATTAGAAAATAATGAACTATCAAGAAAATCTGATTTACACTTATTAAATGCTCAAATTATGTTAGTCTGCACCATTTATTTGTACGATAAAAGATTTAAAAACTGATGTATCAAAAACCAAGTTTAATGTACATATTATGCATAAAGGAACGATAAAACAATGAAAATTTCAATTAAATAACTTGAAATTATGATTTGATTCAGATCAAGGACCAAAAAAAGATATTATAAAGAAAATACTTGTCTGAAAATTTGCCACACCCAATTAGTGCATGGAATGAGATATTAATTATGATTTTTTTACATGATTATGTGATAACATAATTTTCACATATTTAAATTGTTAAAAATTATCAAAAAAACATTACACTTACTTCTTTAGGCCCATCTCTGTAGATTTTGTAGAGACGCGGGGAAAACATGCACGTCCACGCTCTCGTCAACATTTTGATGAATGCACTGGAAACTGGAATGGAATGGGATGGGAGAATTATCCCGTATTGATTTCAGGTGGTACCAGGCCTGTGACAGCTTAGTTCCAAAAAATGCGTATTGGCGCTACTATCGGCAGCCATGTTGGTAGCAGCCATTTTGGCCGTTATGTCAAACTGACAGATTGAAAATGGCGTCATTCGTGTCGAACCTCGTGTGCTGATGGGTCCTTCTCCTCGCTTTATTGCTTGAGTTGAGATTGATTCCAAGTTCCTTGCTCGAAACGAATACTGCAGTGTTCTGGTGCTTTTGCCCACGCCCTGCGGCCATGGCGCCTATCAAATGCTGTGTTGTCGGTTGTGCTTCAACCGACAAAACTCATCGCCTATATAATTTTCCAAAGGACGATAAAGTTAGGGCTTTGTGGCTGTCGTTTTTGGTGTCAGTAAATTCCGAACTACTTGGACTAACAAAGGATCAGTTATTGAATAAACGTGTGTGTCAAAAACATTTTGATAAATACCAACTGGATGGGGAGGGTAATCGTCTCAGACATGGTTATCCATGTTTGTTTTCTACTAAAGAAGTCGAACATGGGGTGCCTCTATCTGGTAAGTGTATTAACTTTCCGTCAAACTTTACTATTCTAAACATCTAAAACTGCGTAGGTCTATGTCAATGTGTGCTCAAATGTTTGGTTATTTTCAGGTGATCATTATGATCATAGTTACAGTAAAAAGGAGGACTTTGCTGAAAAGGAGGACGTTGCTGAAAATTCAGTTGTGATCCAAGGTATGATACTCATTTTTGATTAATATTTATGATTTGCTATAAAATAATAAGTTACTGTTTTCTGATATTCATTTTTCTCATTTTAGAACATCCAGATGATCATTCTTATTCAAGAACAGCAGATATATATGCAGATCCTCCTGCGTCTTCACTTGTAAATACTGGTAATTTAATTTTTAAAAACAATTCATTACAATACATTTAAATATCATTGAAGAACACCTAACAATAAGGCTCAAAAACGTCTTGGTGTTTTTGTCACCGAACAGCCTTTCTTTTTTCTTCAGAGCCACTTGTTCAACTCTTTTCCATTTTGCACTCTTGAAAAAAATATTAATTTACTAAATTAATATGTTTCATTGCAGATATCACTACAGCCAATGTCTTTGAAACAAATGAAATACAATCTACAAGCAAGTGTGAACAGTCATCACATCTTAATAATATACAAATTGACTCTTTGGAATCTCAAGGTTAGAATAACAAAAACTTACCTAATTGTAAAATATTTAAACATTGTCATAAGACATCTACTTTGTTGGTAATCTTTTAATAACCTAAAACAAATTTAAACAGAGTAGGTACAGTTTGTACACCAAATGTGCTACTTAATCTCTTGAAAAGTATTATTTTTATCTTACTTTGGTTAAGATGTGATTAGAAAAACTATTAGTTTAAGAAATAGTGTGATGGCAAATGTAAAAACATTGCTCAGGCAGGATTCTTAATGATCCTGATGATTCGACCTTACATTATTTAATTTTTATTCATTTTTAATTGAATGTTTATTTATTTTATTTACAGATGTGATTCGCAATGTGGAGCAAAGTCAATCAATAACTAAGTCACCAAAAATAATTGGTATTAGGGGAAGAGGTAAAACATTTTATTTTCTAACACAAAAACTTAAAAAATAAATTTTACATATCTTACTGTAATAAATAGTTACAGAAAAATAAAGTAGGTAAGTATTGAAAACTCAATCAACAATTTTTTACACACAAAAAGCTATGATAAAATTTCTAAATTCTAAAATGCATTTACTTATTGATTATTCTGTACGCTTTTTTTGTTTTATTGATGGAATCTAAAAAGTATTTTACAAAGTTTATTAAGTAAATAATATGATAATTTTTTACAGGTAATAAATTTTCCTCAAACACCCGGTGCTTTATAAAAAAAATCAGAAAAATTGCCAATAAAAACAATAGTAAGCCATTTCTACAAAGATTGGATGCTGCCAAGACCCTGAGCTGCAGCCACTTGTTTAGTAAAAATTTTGATAAAATATCACAACAAGCCCAAGATTTTATACTCATGCAGTTAAAAATGGCAAATAAAAAGAAGAAGGCAATGAGATATACCACCAATGAAAAGCATTTAGCTTTGACCCTAATGAAGCAAAGCCCAAAAGCATATAGATTGCTACAGAAAATGTTTAATTTGCCTAGTAAAAGAACACTGAACCGTCTGGCTGAAAATATAATGTTCAAAGTGGGGCTAAATGACAATATTTTTAGAGTACTACAGCACAAAACTCGGAAATGGGACACAAAGAAGAAACTGTGCTCTATTTTATTTGATGAAGTGTCTCTTACACCTCATCTCACTTATGTCGAGTCCCAAGATGAGATAAGAGGCTTTAAAGATTTTGGATATGAAAGAGAACTAAGGTTTTGTGATCACGCCTTAGTGTTAATGTTAAAAGGAGTGTGCTCAAACTGGAAACAGCCTATTTGTTTTTATTTTTGTGAGGGCACAACTGCAGCTGCTACTGTAGTGAGAATTTTAAAAGAAGTGGTCACTAGAGTGTCAGAGTCAGGCTTGATACCTTTAGCCATTGTGTGTGACCAGGGCTCTACATTTAGAACAGCCATAAATATGCTGAAATTGGAAACTGAACGCAAAAGAATTTTAAATGAGGAATCTAATGGTGAGTAAATAAATTGTCTTTTAAATAGCACTTGCATTCCCATTGTCTGCTCTGTGTATAAGTTATAATCTATACTAATATTATAAAGCTGAAGAGTTTGTTTGTTTGTTTACTTGAACGCGCTAATCTCGGGAACTACTGGTCCGATTTGAAAAATTCTTTCAATGTTAGAAAGCCCATTTATCGACGAAGGCTATAGGCTATATACCATCACGCTACGAGTAATAGGTGTAATGTTGCGGAACGGGTTTTGACGCGTACGAAGTCGCGGGCACAGCTAGTGTTATAATAAATGCGAAAGTTTGTGAGGATGTCATCAAACATGTAAACTTTGATATTATTTTAAATTTACGGCAAAGTAACTTGTGATTGTGAACTCAATACCGTTTTTTATTTGCAGATGGAACTATCGAGATTTCAGGACTACCGTTAAGTGTAGTATATGATCCTCCACACCTTCTTAAGGGCCTTCGGAACAACCTTCTCACTAAAGACATGCTCTTCAAAGGCAAAGTTGCCACTTGGAAAGATATAGAATCTGTATTTGACGCTGATTGCCAACTAGGTCACACTAGAATGCATAAAAAGTTAACAGAGCACCATGTTTATGCAGCGAAAATGAAGAAAATGAAAGTTAGTGTAGCTGCTCAAACGCTGAGTGCAACAACCAGTGGAATGCTTAAATACACTGCATTGTTTCGTAAGTTGTTTACTTTGTTAACAATAAGCATTATCTAATAATACAAAAATCATCCACTTTATTACTCACTCACTTTGAATTTGAAAACTAACTTAAACTTTATATTTGTTTAATTAGGGTCTACAACAAAACTAGAAGCAAATGTACGCTATCTTAATCTGATAGAATAGAAACAATTAGTTGTTATTTTTGTTTGGTTTTTTATTAATCAATTATGTTATTAATTTAATTACGAGTAATTATGTAACATTTCAGAAACTACAGCTTCGGGTTCAAAGGTCAGTGAGACAATGGCCACAACAGGCGAAGCTGTGGAGTTTATCGACAAGCTCTTCGATAGTGTAAATGGATCTCGAGGGAGTGCTGTTCGAGGCAAACTGCGCAGGCCGATAAAGCCAAGTGATCAACAACACTTCAATTTTTGGTCCGAAGCGAAGCAAATATTGAAAAATATTGAGTTTATTGACAAATACAGCAAGAAAGCCCGCAAAAATAATAAGGCCTATAATGTAAGAGTTCCTTCGCTTAATGGATGGGTCACAACTTTAGAAAGTTTTGAAAGGTTATCTAAACTATTGTTTGAGAAATATCACTTACAGTATTTTTATCCCAGAAATATTAATCAAGATCCTCTTGAGAATTTTTTTGGTCGGATCAGAGCCATTAATCACAGGAACGTTAATCCTGATGCCAACACGTTCATGAATGCATTCAAGTCGTTATTAATGTCAAACGTTATGGGTCCTCATTCAATATATGCCAACTGTGAGGATGACACTGGAGACACGGTAGTCGATTTTGTTAAACTAATGTGCTCATCAAATGTTGATGAGAGTTCCTCATCAACATTTGATGAGGATAAAGAAAATTCTATGATATGTAGACCCAAAACTGTGACGCAAAACACCAGCAATAATAACAACCAATCGCTAAATCCAGCAAATGAAAGATTGCGTGTGCACTCTTCTGCATATACAGCTGGGTATTTGTGCAGAAGAGTGACAAAAAAATTTAAGTGTAGAGAATGCTCTGAGACCTATACCCAGACAAAAATAGATGTTTTTCATAAATGGATCGAACAACGGGAATATAACCTTTTAAAACATCGCAATTTAGCCTATCCATCAAAGAAATTTTTAATTTTATATAGAGACATCTCCGGCCTTATCCATGATAATTTGAACAAATATGCTCACAAAAAATGTGTAAAAAAACATTTAAAATTAGATATATTAAAGAAATTTAATGTAAATTGGTTGGGGTGTACACAACATAACGCAGAACTACAGGAATGGTTTCTCAATTTAATCATACGCATGCATGTGCACAATTGGTGCAACATATTAAATAAAATTTTAAAAGGTGGTATACAAGAAAAACTTGTAAAGAGGATGTGTGCACCCCAACTAATAGCCTTTAAAAAATATAAAGCCCTTAGGTTAAGAGGAAAAAAATAAAAATAAATATGTAAAAAGCAAAAACTAGTCGTTTTATTTTTTACCTTGCAAATAATAAAATTAAAAATAAATAAAATTATTCCTAGAAAAATTGTCCACGGTACATCACTATTTTATCGATATTCTAAATCGAATGTTTATCGTGGGTTATAGTACGCTGTTGGTCATCACTAATTGACATTGCGACGTATAGTTATCTGTGGTTGCGACACTAGCGCTTAGCGCATACTTTTGGTACTAGACGTCAACTTCGTAACTGTCCCATCTGTCTCCGACTAATATATAGTTATCTGTGGTTATGGACGCTAGTTGGCGCTGTAATCGTGCACAGAGCCAATGAGGATCAGTACTGTTGTAGAAAATTCAATAAAACTAGTATACGTTAATCTTTAAGACATANTTTTGTAATTTTGGGCATGTTGACTCGCTAACGAAAATGAGTTTTCTTACGCGTTACATTAATTTTACGAGTGTAAATTAATAGAATAATTAGTCCCTAGATAACAAATAACAAAATGGATATGTCGGAAGTAAAATCGTTCAACGCGGAGGTATAATATTAGTGTCAGTTTTGTGATATGTAAAATTTTATCGTGGCATCATTTTAACTATGAATTTCTTGCAGTTATCCGGGTTGTACGATAACAAGCCGCCTATATCGAAGGCGAAGATGAGTGCTATCACTAGAGGTGCTATAAAGGCCATAAAGTTCTACAAGCACGTAGTGCACAGTGTGGAAAAATTCATACAAAAGTGTAAGCCAGAATACAAAGTTCCTGGTCTTTACGTGATAGATTCGATAGTAAGGCAATCTAGACATCAATTCGGACAAGAGAAGGATGTGTTTGCTCCACGGTTTGCCAAGAATATGCAGCAGACTTTTGCTAACCTCTTCAGATGCCCTCCTGAAGATAAGGTTTGTTACATAAAATTGCCATTTTAGGTTATAAATCTTTATAATGTTAACGTTATTTATACATATAATTAAGATTTATAGCCAAATCTAAACATTTCTTATCAAATACTAGTGATATCTTTTTAGGTTGTGTATTAAAACCAATGTTTTGTTTTACTGAAGTCATGAATAAACCAAATGCAAATACCTGTGATACTACACTACCTACAGTAATACTAAAATCATAAATAATTTGGTGTCTTTCACATATCAACAAAGTTTAATTTATTATGTGTAGTAAACTGATTGTATTGATTATCTAGCTCTAAGCAAATCATTCTTATCTGCCTGTCCTCATTCCATTTTTTTCCTTGATGGTGGAAAACATATTCTCAAATCATTGGAATAAGAGTAGGCTGGCTGTTGATTTTTCGTCGGGCAGGCACACTGTTGATTTTTCGTCGGGCTGTTGATCAGTACTGGCATGTATGGGAGTGCGCACACTATGCCGATTCGATTTGGCCGATTCTTCATACAATTTGAAATCGGGCACAACTATCGGCCAACTAAAAATCAACGGTGTGCGCCTACTCGAACACCTGTTGAGTTCCAACTGTGAGTGACCTCTACTGTGTAGTATTCCTCCAATCACACTATTAGATTATAATATGTTATTAATTATTGTAGGGCAGCGAAGTTGTTGTAGGTGTTGATTGAAAGGCCGTGGTTTCACTAATTAAGTTTATTGCCAGGTCTGCACAGTTTAATACACACAATCACAAGTGTAATGGCCGGAGTACGAAACGCTACTGGGCGCGAAAGGCGCTCAAATACATACGTCACAAGATCGAACGAATGAAGGAATGAATGAGTTTTAGTGTTGGAACCCAACAATTATTGAAAAAACAAAAACCCTACTGCGTAAAAATTACATTTCATCAGAGGCATCAATGACTAATTCTTTTATTAGTGATATCTATTTGAGACATAAATACAGCGATAAACATAACCCTCCTTCTGGCGCAGTCGGGTAAAAAGATATTACTGGACATTTTAAGACTTATTTTATTTTCATTTCAGCGAAATATAATCCGAGTTCTGAATCTGTGGCAAAAGAACAACGTGTTCAGTCCGCAAGTCATCCAGCCGCTGCTGGACATGGCCGACCCCAACCACCCGCTCCACCAGGAGATACAGCAGCAGCAAAACAACACCGCGAATGGTAACGGAAATTGATACACTACATCAGAGATGGCGAACCAATGGCATGCGTGCCATCGATGGCACGCGCCACAATACTTAGAGCGTGCTCGCCAATCACAAAATTCACTTTAAAATAAAATAGTAAATAATGTGTTTTTAATGAAGGCTACTGTATTTGCCCTTAACAGAGTAAGTAAGTTAGAGTAAGGTCCTGTCACTCGCCAGTGGCGCCACCTGTACTATACACCTTATTGATAGCTTTAGGTGTTATTTGATAGTATGTCTATGACTATATCAAAATTTTTTTTTCAGAATAGTGACACGTTTATACATAAAAATTACCACCACCACTTAGACAACAATTTTCAAGGACAACTTGCGCTTTATTTTCCAATAAGATAATATTCTAAAGATTTTGCCAAATAGAAAGCGAACCTAGCCCAGAGCATTAACCGACGCGCTAAAGTGCTGAATTTTCGTGGTAGAATGTAGTTTCATGTCAAATACCCGACGCTAGGACACCGCGACAGAGTGTTGCATGTTTGACATGAATAGTTTCAAATAGTATTGACATTTGTTTAGTTCTTTTCAATTTGTATGAGGAATCTGTCCATACTAAAACAAAAGATTAACAACCTGACCTTACCAACGTCGGTAGCCTGTCGGGTGTCTAAGCCTTTATAGGGCTCTGTTCAATAATTTGAATATTATTAACTTTTTCATAAGGTCAAAAACCAATTATTATTTTCAACATGCCTACAGAAGATTAACATCGAAAATATTTGTATATTCTAACAGAGTAAATACAAATGAGTAGGTCATCTTCATAGAAACGCACGGGCGCGGTTTGTATGTGAGCGAGCCAACACTGACAAAATTCGGCGCAACCACGACTGGCTCGCCGCTAATCCCCGCTAAATTTTGTCAGTGTGTGCGTGCGCGCCGCATACGTATATTGGCGCGCTCACATACAAACCGCGCTCGGTGCGTTTCTATAAAGATAACCTACTCATTTGTATTTACTCTGATTCTAACGTATTTGTTTCCAGGGAGCAGCCTGAACGCGACGCACAACACGACGGACGGCAAGTCGCCGGCGCCGGCGCAGCACTCGCCGCACGCGTCGACGCCTATGGGCGATCAGGTATGTTGGTTTTAAATGATCCACACTAACATATTATAGGGTGAAATTTTGTAAAGCCACCTGAAGGGAAAGTACTCTTAAGATGAGTTGCACCACCTAATTTTAACGGTAACTATAACGATAACCGGTGCTTTTTGTATGGAGTTTGACAGATTTTTGACGTTTGTTAAAGTTAAACTAAGATGGTGCAACCCAGCCTTAATGTAAAAAAAAAGTACCTTTATTTTTTAAAAGAAAGAATTGCATTCAATGATTTTCTTAAAAGTTTAAGTTAAAGTTGAGCAAGCAACAAGTGATCTGAAGAAGCAAGAACTGAGAAAAGGAAGCGAATATTAATATTCCTTACTTCCAGCTGCTAAACGACTTCGACTACGAGAGCGACGACGAGCCGCCGGCGGCCGAGCCCGCGCCGCAGCCGCCACCGCCGCAGAACCCCGCCGACGCGCTTGGCAGGTAAATACCACCTTAGTTAGTAAGTTAGTTTTGCAGGGCAATCGAATACCGCACTTAGCCTCATGATAGGGCCATTGTGCGCGATTTGTGGTTTATCTTCCTACTCCAACCACCCCAGATATACCACCTTATGCTCATAGCAGTAAGGTCCTTGTATTGCCACTGCCAGCCGCCAGGATAAGGGTTAGACGTGTAGTACTTGATACGTTGTAATAAGGTTCAAAGTAATGTGGTTTCTATATTGCGGCTGCCCATATAAGAATGGTAATGGCGCAGTTACACTATGCGCGGAATTGATCTAACAGAAGCGCATGCGCATTGAAGTATGGGCGAAACGACTGAACTGATTGTTTAGACTATCTGATTCGATCAATTTCACGCAGTGTAGCTGCGCCATAAAAAGTAATTTACGCCCGTATTCACAANGGGGTGGTTGGAGTAGGAAGATAAACCACAAATCGCGCATAATGGCCCTATCATGAGGCTAAGTGCGGTATTCGATTGCCCTGCAAAACTAACTAACTAACTAAGATAACCTACTCATTTGTATTTACTCTGATTCTAACGTATTTGCCTTTCCAGGGAGCAGCCTGAACGCGACGCACAACACGACGGACGGCAAGTCGCCGGCGCCGGCGCAGCACTCGCCGCACGCGTCCACGCCTATGGGCGATCAGGTGAGACTTGGTTATAAACAATTCACACGAATATACAGGGTGTCCCGTAAAGAGTCCTACCTACTACTGCTTTTTCTATTTATTTATATTAACCGGCAGACAGTGGTGACTGAGTTTGTTGCGGCGCTTTTTCTCAGCACTTGCCAAATGTTGGTCTCGAAGCGTTGGTAGGGTACTAAGATTATGAGACATGTAGAGCCTCATTAAGAGCAAAATATTTGACAATTTGTAAGCACTACTTATACAAATAAAGAAATTTTGACTTTGACTTAGAGCGTGCCAAGCTCACGGAGATAATAGTAATTTAAAAAAATATATGTATCCCCATTTCAGGTACGACTTTTTTAATTTTTTCCCTCAATTTTGAGCCTTTGTCTTGTTGCTGTGTGTATAAATGAGCAGATACTTTTCTAATTTTTCTTATTTGACTTGAAAAATATTTGCTATAATAGTGTGATAGTCGCGAGAGGCACCAGGATGCTGATAGCGCAGGATCAGTCGTGGTTGAAACAAAAGAACAAACAATAATTTCATTTATCACTCATAAATAAATGCTGAATGAATATTGTAACAGAACAAGCCCAAATTCGGTTTAAGCAATAAGTACAATCACAACAAAGAAACTAAAGATTTACCACTGTTTATTTTATTTACTCTTCTTTTCGTGTCAACAACAAACCTACAGTCAGCCCAAAACTCCACCATAAGAGTGGCGTTGTCAGCAGCTTTCATTTTATTTTATTTACTCACACTTCTACCTCAAGCCATGACACAATATTTCGAAAATAGCGCGATTTATGTAACAACTAGGTTTCCGCCCGCGGCTTCGCCCGCGTGGAATTTTGTCTGTCACAGAAAAACTTTATCGCGCGCGTCCCTGTTTCAAAAACCGGGATAAAAACTATCCTATGTTCTTTCCCGGGACTCAAACTATCTCTATGCCAAATTTCATCAAAATCGGTTGCGAGGTTTAAGCGGGAAAGCGTAACAGACAGACAGACAGACAGACAGACAGAGTTACTTTCGCATTTATAATATTAGTTGGGATTTAATACAACATTCCCTATTTCCAGCTGCTAAACGACTTCGACTACGAGAGCGACGACGAGCCGCCGGCCGCCGAGCCCGCGCCGCAGCCGCCGCCGCCGCAGAACCCCGCCGACGCGCTTGGCAGGTAAATACCACCTTATACTCATAGCAGTAAGGTCCGAATTAATATGGCTCTTGTATTGCCACTGCCAGGATAAGGTTAGACGTGTAGTACTTGATACGTTGTAATAAGGTTCAAAGTAATGTGGTTTCTATATTGCGACTGCCCATATAAGAATGGTAATGGCGCAGTTACACTATGCGCGGAATTGATCGAACAGAAGCGCATGCGCATTGAAGTATGGGCGAAACGACTGAACTGCTTGTTTAGACTATCTGATTCGATCAATTTCACGCAGTGTAGCTGCGCCATAAAAAGTAATTTACGCTCGTATTCACAGNATTCACAAACGTTACTATGAGGTCTCACAGTGCGCGTGGACGCACAGGGTGACACACAAACCAATCACAGAGCTCTATTCAACGCTGTGCGTTCCGCACATAAGCAAGCATTGTTTGTGAATACGGGTGTTAGTTTTTTCTTGTTGTTTATTCCCCTAAAGTCAAAATAATAAGGTTCAATTGAAATTACTGTGGACCATGTATTATATTTGACTTCTATGACTTTCATGTATAGTGTACAACTGTACATGGCGATCCCTCTTGGTAAACTGTTACTTTTATTTTTGTATTAATTTGTTACTTATAAAATTATGATTTGTTTCAGTATACTAACAAATCCAGAAATAATGAGGCAGCTCCAAAGTTTGCAGGCTCAAATGCAGCTTATGACCGGCATGCAAATACCTGTAAGACCACTGCAAAAAGTATGTCAAAATTATCATTATTTACTATGCTTTATTACAACCAAATATTATTGCTTTCAGAACCTAATGCCTATGATGGATATGCAACTACAACAAAACCAAAACCAGAATCTTCCATTCTTGGTAATTATCTTCAAATCTTTGTAACTTAAGTCTACTGCTGCAGATATTAAAGTTCTGTTTTGTTTGTTTCAGAACTCTAATGACCAACAAAAGCAAGGCGAGTCCAAGGATGATATGGCCAATGAATCTGACATAGAATTCGTGGAAACTGGACCGCAAGTTATAGAAATACCAGATGCTAATGATTCTAGGTATGTAATAAAGCTAGCTCGCAAGAGCCCACAGCCCTACACAAGTATTTGATTTTAATTTCAAAATGTTACCTAAAGGCGTTTCTAAAAATAGGATTTGCCACACTGGTTGCGGTCTGCAGTCTGGTCAAAGTGACCGATGACCGCAGAATGCATCCAATGTGGCAAAACCTTCCAGGATCAGATATTTCCTCTGGAGCACTGGGTACTTATTGTTATCTCAGACTGAACTTGCAAGTCAGTGTCCCACAGTCACGCACTTAGCTGGATATTCAGAGCAGTCTATTTTGGTGCATGTTATGCTGGAATATTTTTGTGTAAAAGTCCTTTATTCCCAGTAGTCCCTTTACACATTTCCTTTGAAGGGACGATTTTGTACCACTAGTCAAGCGTTAAAGGGACAATGTAACGTTAACGTCCCAGTAGTTCCTTCGAATTTTTTAAAGGAACTAGAGGGAGAAAAAAGTTCCACTAGTCCCTTTAAAGGAACTGCCAAATGGAACTACTGGGAATAAAGGGTAAAAGTTCTTAGAGCTAAATAACTTAGCCACTTAGCCAGAAGGATATCTTAGACTTGTCATGCTCACTAAAAATGTCTCTGGGGTAGTGGCGTGTGAGGCGGGTCGTTACATTCCCTATAATATGGTCGAGTGAAGCGATGGCTGGTTCACACGTCATGTCTGTGATAAGGCGATGCCTTCGGGGACTGGTCAAGGAAAGATATACCTGATATAATATATATATGTATCAAAACGCAACAATTAACCTAGAAATTAGGGTGCAGTCCTGTTGTCCCCCCAACTTGGCCCCCCTAGGGGAGCCAACAGGATTTCGAAATCCTGTTGTCCCCCCTGGCTAGGGGAGACAACAGGACTAGATTTTTAATCAATGATTTGAGGACTGTTGTCCCCCCTGGCAAAAATTATTTAAAAGCCATAAATTTTTATAGCATAATTTATGAAAAACTGAAGTATTTGACTGAATGCCAAATTGACAAACTGAATACCTAAACGTTTGTCAAGGTAATAATTACAATTTTGATAGGTATTGGTGCCGGCCGGTATTAACTAACACTTACAAACTTGAAATTTGGCAGGTAGGTTTCCTTATAGGGTGTAGACATCCACTAAGAACGGAATTNTCGTTCGTTTCAGCCAAATGACGTCCACTGCTGGACAAAGGCCTCCCCCAAGGTTTTCCACAATGAACGGTCCTGCGCTGCCCGCATCCAGGCTCTTCCCGCGACCTTTACCAGATCGTCGGTCCACCTAGTAGGAGGCCTGCCCACGCTACGTTTTCCAGCCCGTGGTCGCCACTCGAGAACTTTCCTGCCCCAACGGCCATCGTCTCTACGAGCTATGTGCCCCGCCCACTGCCACTTGATTTTAGCAATTCTGCGAGCTATGTCGGTTACTTTGGTTCTCCTACGGATCTCCTCATTTCTGATTCGATCACGCAGGGAAACTCCGAGCATAGCCCGCTCCATCGCCCTTTGGGTGACCTTGAGCCTTCTTATGAGGCCCATAGTAAGCGACCACGTTTCGGATCCATATGTCAACACTGGCAACACACACTGCTCGAAGACTTTCGTCTTGAGACACTGCGGTATTTCGGACATGAGTATATGGCGAAGCTTCCCGGGCTAAATGGGCTATCTAACACTGAAAGAATTTTTCAAATCGTACCGATAGTTCCTGTGATTAGCGCGTTCAAGTAAACAAACAAACTCTTCAGCTTTATAATATTAAGTATAGATTTAAAATTATTCAGTTTTAGCATTCTACCTACTGATGTTGTAAGTAAATGCGGAACTTTGTGAGTATGGATGTTTGATACTCTTTCACGTAAAAACTACTAAACGGATTTTTACTTACACTTGATAAACTCTACAGTACCTAGATAATATTTTTTATACATGAGAATAGCATAATAGAGGTACTCAGCTTTTGCCTACGGCTTTGTCCGCTATATGTTTGTATTTATTTATAAAAAAAGATAAAGTTACTTTCGCATTTATAATATTATTTAGTAGGGATAATTCATAACGATTTTGTCAAAAGCAAGTAAAGCAGATTTAGAAATAAGTCAGTAATTTAGTAGAATTTCAGAAATAGTCTGAAATAGTACCGGTACCAAGAACTTATATTTTTTTCGTTATCCAAATGTTAATATTATTTGACATGCGTTTAGGTATTCAGTTTGGCAATTTGCCATTCATTCAGGTAGATACTCCAGTCCTTCTTAAATGTTATAAAATTTTATGGCTTTTAAATAATTTTTGCCAGGGGGGACAACAGTCCTCAAATCATTGATTAAAAATCTAGTCCTGTTGTCTCCCCTAGCCAGGGGGGACAACAGGATTTCGAAATCCTGTTGGCTCCCCTAGGGGGGCCAAGCAGGGGGGACAACAGGACTGCACCGAAATTAGCACGGCACTAAATAAATATATGCAAAACTGCCACGCGGTCTCGTGCTAGATGGGCGTCTTAAAGGCCACCTTCTATCAACGGGAGCGCGTAGTAAGTAACTTGCTTCTGAATGTATTGTAACTTCCTACTTTCTTATATTTTTAAACCGTTAGACAGTGGTGACTGAGTTTGTTGCGGCGCTTCTTCTCAGCACTTGCCAAATGTTTGTCTCGAAGCGCTGGTAGGGCAAAAAAAGAATGAGACATGTATAGGCTCCTTAAGAGCATTTGACGATTTGCAAGAACTAATTTAATTAGTCTAAGGGCTGATTTTTCAATTGTCGGATAACTTTTAACTGAAGAATAAGTTTGGCACGTTGACAGTTTCAATATAGAAAATATGTCAAAGTGACAAGTTTATTCTTCAGTTAAAAGTTATCTGACGATTGAAAAATCGGCCCTAAACAAATAAAGAAAATTTTGATTTTTGATAATGATATCTTTCTATTTAACATCGATGTTTTCCGCTTGTTCCCAGGAGTCCGTCGCCCAAGTCTCGTCGCCACCGTTCGCGATCACGCTCGCCCAAGCGCAGGCGTCGTTCGCGCTCGCGATCGCGCTCGCCGCGCCGACGCCGCGACAGAGACAGGTAAATAACATAGTTATACTCGTCAAGGACAAAGTTTTCAATCGCCAGCTGATACCAGTTTCATTTAGTTGAAGACTTATGTCACTTTTTTCTGGTTTAAAGTGTCAAAAAGTGATAAACTGTCTTCCTCTATGCAAAATTGAATTTATAACAGTCGGGGTTGAGGATTCCGGATGAAACTCGCTTTCATGTTCGGCCTGATTTGTTTATTTATTTACACTTTTGCACATACAACTGTACAGTGGCGGACTTAATGCCAGGTGGCATTATCTGCCAGTCAACCACAGGTCGAGTAGAGAGACTAAGGCTTTCCATCACTTTCCATCATGTGAGATGCAGTGCAGGCCAAGAGCTTTCGAGTTGTGATAAAGACAGGAATACTGGGACGTGTAAAAGTGCTTTTTAAAAGCTTGTTTGCAAAAATAAGTTTTAGGAATTTTGATGATGAACTGACACGCCACTTCTACACACTGAATGATCAATCAGATCATATTAGTTTGTGTATGCAAAAGTGCAGATTTCGTCCTTCACATTGCGAAAAAAAATTGAAGACATATTTTATCACTATTTCAATTTGTTACAGGGACAGGGATAGAGACCGCGAAAAGGACAGTAAAAGCTATAAAGAAAGGGAGGCAGAGAAAGAAAAACAAAGGGAAAGAGAGAAGAAGGGATTACCACCGATAAAGAAAGAGAACCTTAGTGGTAAGTTGTGACTTACTTGACTTATGGTCCTATGTCCCCTAGATGGGGCAGAGGGCGTCCACAACAGTCCTCCATCGCGTTCGGTCTTGAGCTATGTGTTTGATCTCGCTCCAAGTCTTGCCGATCTTCTTCGCCTCGTCTGCCACAGTGCGCCGCCAAGTTTGCTTGGGGCGACCACGTTTGTTGTTGTGTGTAGTGGTAAGTTGTAGCATCAAATAAATCCATGTGTTGTCATTAAAATCCTGTGTTTCCTGTCAATGAAGATTGGTGTAAGGCCAGTGATAATTCAATTAGTGTCCTTGACACATTACTAAAATATTTTAAGAGAAAATTTTAAATATAAATTAAAAGTTTTATTGTTATTTACAGTGTCTATTTTTAGTGTTTCCAAAAAATCTTGTCAAATTATAAAATATTGTGTCAATGCCGTAGTTACGTCGTTATTGTGCCTTGCGCGATCGAAGCGCGGTGGATTGTCTGGTGTATGTAGACCCAGCTACGATACCTCAACCGAATAGTGACGACGAAATGGTTGCAATAGGCATCAATATCGCCTGGTTGTGGACAAAGATTCATAGATTTTACTCACATTAAATATTCGTCGTATCAGCCAAATGAAGTCCACTGCTGGACAAAGGCCTCCCCCAAGGTTTTCCACAATGAACGGTCCTGCGCTGCCTGCATCCAGGTTCTTTCCGCGACCTTTACCAGATCGTCTGTCCACCTACCCACACCACGTCTTCCGGCTCGTGATCGCCACTCGAGAACTTTTCGGTCCCATCAGCCACCATTTGCAACTAAAATAGTAAGACACGGGTTTACGGATTAATAAACGTCGCGTTAAGACCCGTGTCTTACTATTTTAGTTGAAATGGAACGCGAAAGTTTAAAATCTTACATCATTTGCAAGTTTTATTATACAGTGTGAGTTACGTTAGTGTCGACTCACACTGTATGTCCCAAAATTCTCAAAACGTCACATGTGTTTTCTTCAACGCAGTGTGCAGCACAACGCTATGGGTGGGCCACCTATCAAAGTTAGCTACGCAAGAGGAACTATCAGACTTGTTCGGCGCGATCGGCGGCGTGACGTCCATCGACGTGGTGGCGCCTCGCGGCTGCGCCTTCGTGGTCATGGAGCGGCGCCGCGACGCCGCCAAGGCGCTGGCCAAGCTCAACAAGCACAAGCTGCACTCTAAGGAGATCACGGTCAGTGGTGATAAGCTACTATAGTCTGGTCCGGGAGCACGTAGAATTTTGTCCAATGACCCCAAGCTAGCCATCCTTATCGCTCGCGCGCTGTGCGACGCGCGCCCGCAGTGAGTGTGCGAGCGCGACAGCAACATAATTACGTGCGAGCGACAAGGATGGGCAGCTTGGGGTCATTGGACGGGATTCTACGTGCTCACGGACCAGGCTTTAGATGACCTAAACCAATCCCACCAAACTCATTGGGGCGCCACCATCGTTCAACTATACATGGCAAAAATCATCCAGTCCATGTCACGGGTGGGACGGTTCAGGACCCAATATACTGAACTGTCCCACCCGTGACATTGATAGCGGGGCACCACCGTCAATACCGAATCCCTGGTTCCGATTTTGTCACGTTGGAAAACACTGAAATATCATTTGCGCTGCCATCAATGCCGGGTTGCTAGGAGTATTTCCAATCTTTGCCATCTCGTTTCCACCTTCGGCCTGACCATCACTTACCATCAGGTGAGATATATGCCAAGAGCTTTCTCGTTGTGGATAAAGTTGTGGACGGCGGAGCGGCGGCGATGAGGAGTAGTATTTTCAGCGGCGTTTCGTGCGCGTCACCGTATACTATCCATGTTGTTGTATGCATCGCCACCGTTCCGCCGTCGCGTCGGCCCGCCATCGCTCTGCCGTCGCCAGTTTCGTGCCCGCAGACTTAGGCCCAGAACACACGGTGAAACGCAATTGCAACGAAACTGCAACTAGACGTGCGCGCCGGTCAAAAAAAATCGGGCGGCGGCGCGCCACGAAAAAATCCACGGCGGCGGCGTAACGCCGGCGGCGTGGGATTTTTCAACTTTGCATATTAAGGCCNCACTTTAACGTGACTCACACTGTATTCAAAACTGCCACGCGGTCTCGTGCTAGATGGGCGTCTTAAAGGCCACCTTCTATCAACGGGAGCGCGTAGTAAGTAACTTGCTTCTGAATGTATTGTAACTTCCTACTTTCTTATATTTTAAACCGTTAGACAGTGGTGACTGAGTTTGTTGCGGCGCTTCTTCTCAGCACTTGCCAAATGTTTGTCTCGAAGCGCTGGTAGGGCAAAAAAAGAATGAGTCATGTATAGGCTCCTTAAGAGCATTTGACGATTTGCAAGAACTAATTTAATTAGTCTAAACAAATAAAGAAAATTTTGATTTTTGATAATGATATCTTTCTATTTAACATCGATGTTTTCCGCTTGTTCCCAGGAGTCCGTCGCCCAAGTCGCGTCGCCACCGTTCGCGATCGCGCTCGCCCAAGCGCAGGCGTCGTTCGCGCTCGCGATCGCGCTCGCCGCGCCGACGCCGCGACAGAGACAGGTAAATAACATAATTAGGGCTCCTGCACACGACGCCGCCACCGCGCCGTCGCCGCGCCGCTACACTGTTCATACGCACCGAGTAAAACCGCCGCCGCGCCGCCACCGCGCCATCAAAGCATAATTTCGCCTGTTCACGCGGCGCGTATAAACAGTGCAAAGGCGCGGCGACGGCGCGGCGGCGGCGCGGTAGCGGCGTCGTGTGCAGTAGCGCTTATACTCGTCAAGGACAAAGTTTTCAATCGCCAGTTTTAGTTGAAATAATATAATAGACTATTTAGAAACAATCAAAAAGTTATAATGCCTTTTTCCATGTAACCAATATTTAAATGAAGAAATAGAAACCACTTCCATGTACCTACTGAAAAAATATTCAACCAGCTAGCAAGCTGACATGGGTTGTTGTAGGTAAACATAAGAGAGATGCGAAATAGTCAGAAGAGAAGTTATTAATTTAATTGTTATCTCTTCAGAACTTCAGGAGTTAATATTTTAAATATTAAAAGACATATTTTATCATGTGTAATTAAAATAAAAAATAAAATATCTTAATTTGTTACAGGGACAGGGATAGGGACCGCGAAAAGGATAGTAAAAGCTATAAAGAAAGGGAGGCAGAGAAAGAAAAACAAAGGGAAAGAGAGAAGAAGGGATTACCACCAATAAAGAAGGAGAACCTTAGTGGTAAGTTGTAGCATCAAATACGTTTATGTGTTGCCATTAAAATCCGATATTTCCTACCAGTGAAAATGTGTTAGTCTGTGATAACTCGATCGGTGTCCTTGACGCATTATTAAAATATTTCAGATAAAAATTATGAATATAAATTAAGTTTTATTGTAATGTAATGTTAGTCCAGTAGAATTAGCTTTTAAATCGGAAATAATTCCTACAAAAGATTTTATTGTTTTAATGGCTTCATTGGTTGCCCATTAAGACTCTCCTAAGTTTTCGACTTCGACGGAGTTGTGCTTAAGTGGTGGGGGCCCCCGAAAGTTGCATTTTTTCGGTTTTCTGGTTATACCGCGTAAAGGACTTACCCTATCAAAAAGTGGTCTTCATGACGGTTGAAGGGCACTTAATCCTGCATTGAATAAGACCAAATTCATATGTTTTGGACAAACCGTTCTCGCGCTAAAGTTCGGCAAAGTAGAAAATATACGTATAATTAATGACCCTCTCCACGTCCAATGGTAGGTAACACAGAGTCGTTCAGGAGAGTGCCAGGAAGAGGTGCAGCAACCGCAGTTAAGGAACGGCTGGGACGAACAAGGATAAGCGAATCAAACTCGTGAGCCTTGTTAGGGTTACACTGGTTAAGGCGACCCTTTACAAGGCTTGGAAGCATGTGGGTAACAAGCCATTGGACGTGGAGAGGGTCATTAATTATACGTATATTTTCTAATTTGCCGAACTTTAGCGCGAGAACGGTTTGTCCAAAACATATGAATTTGGTCTTATTCAATGCAGAATTAAGTGCCCTTTAACCGTCATGAAGACCACTTTTCGATAGGGTAAGTCCTTTACGCGGTATAACCGGAAAACCGAAAAAACGCCCCTTTCGGGGGGCCCCCACCACTTAAGCACAACTCCGTCGAAGTCGAAAACTTAGGAGAGTCTTAATGGGCAACCAATGAAGCCATTAAAGCAAAAAATCTTTTGTAGGAATTATTTCCGATTTAATCAATTTTTGTGTTTAATTCTACTGGCCTATGTCTGTTTTTTGTAATTTCTAAAAACTTGTCAAATTATAAAATGTGTCAGCACCGTAATGAGGGGTGTCGTTTTAGCGCTTACCAGTTAGCGCCACTGTAGAGTAAGATCCTGTCACTTGCTAGTAGCGAAGACAGTGGCACCAACTGGTGAGCGCTAAAGTGGTAGGACGCATTTGCACTCATCAAGATGGCGCCACTGTAGAGTAAGGTCCTGTCAATCGCCAGGGGTGCCAAACTGTTATGTATAAAAACTATACCCTCATTACGTCGTTATTATGCCTTGCGCGATCGAAGCGAGAACCTATTTGATACCTCAACTGAATAGTGACAATAAATTGTGCCTTTATTGTCACTATTATTCAGTTGAGGCATCAATATCGCCTGGTCGTGGTAAAAAATTCAGACATTATTTATCACATTTAACATTTGTCCTTCGCAGTGTGTAGCACAACGCTATGGGTGGGCCACTTATCCAAGTTGGCGACCCAGGAGGAACTATCAGACTTGTTCGGCGCCATCGGCGGCGTGACGTCCATCGACGTGGTGGCGCCTCGCGGCTGCGCCTTCGTGGTCATGGAGCGGCGCCGCGACGCCGCCAAGGCGCTGGCCAAGCTCAACAAGCACAAGCTGCACTCTAAGGAGATCACGGTCAGTGGTGATAAGCTACTATAGTCTGGTCCGGGAGCACGTAGAATTTTGTCCAATGACCCCAAGCTACCCATCCTTATCGCTCGCGCGTAATTATGAAGAGTGATAATAATCATAGTAAAATTTCGTTTGTTTTAAATTATACAATGTTAGCACCCGCGGATTGGTGCGCAAAATTGATCGCGGACGAGGAACGTTCCTGATTGGCTGTTGGACTCGCGCGTTGAGACGTTGAGCGAAGAAATTGTAGCAGGGAGAAGGTATATGACCGCCAGTTCTCATGATGAGTTGCGTAGATGGCGCTATGGGTGTCCAAACAATTGCTGTCGCGACTGTGCGACGCGCGCCCGCAGTGAGTGTGCGAGCGCGACAGCAACATAATTACGTGCGAGCGACAAGGATGGGCAGCTTGGGGTCATTGGACGGGATTCTACGTGCTCACGGACCAGGCTTTAGATGACCTAAACCGAACTGTCCCACCAAACTCATTGGGGCGCCACCATCGTTCAACTATAAAGTTTCCAACATGGCAAAAATCATCCTGTCCATGTCACGGGTGGGACGGTTCAGGACCCAATATACTGAACTGTCCCACCCGTGACATTGATAGCGGGGCACCACCGTCAATACCGAATCCCTGGTTCCGATTTTGTCACGTTGGAAAACACTGAAATATCATTTGCGCTGCCATCAATGCCGGGTTGCTATTTCCGATCTTTGCCATTCCACCTTCGGCCTGATCATCACTTACCATCAGGTGAGATATAGGCCAAGAGCTTCCCCGTTGTGGATAAAGTTGTGGACGGCGGAGCGGCGGCGATGAGGAGTAGTATTTTCAGCGGCGTTTCGTGCGCGTCACCGTATACTATCCATGTTGTTGTATGCATCGCCACCGTTCCGCCGTCGCGTCGGCTCGCCATCGCTCTGCCGTCGCCAGTTTCGTGCCCGCAGACTTAGGCCCAGAACACACGGTGAAACGCAATTGCAACGAAGCTGCAACTTCTAGTTACTTTTGAGTTACATCTAAGTTTCTGCCATAGATTCCGTTGAGAGACCACACATGACGCGACTATTTCAAACCGGTTTCAAATTCGTTTCACCGTGTGTTCTGGGCCTTAGAGTCGTTATTATGACAAAGAGGTCATTAACCTCATAACGTGCCCTTTATGAAACCGGTTTACTAAAATGTTTCCTCATTTGCAGGTGGCTTGGGCGCCCGGCCGCGGTGTAAAAGGCCGCGAATGGAAGGACTACTGGGAAGCGGATCTTGGCGTGTCCTATCTACCATGGAGCGCGCTGCAGGCCCGTTGGGCGCTTAACGCGCTGTCGTTAGATGCTTTGGAAGACGGCGGCGCTGTTGATGAAGATACATTGCCTCAGTGGCTGCCACCGAGGGTGAGTGAGGTGTGTTCATTAGGTAGGATGTTGAAGGACTATTGAGAAGCAGATCTGGGCATGTCTTACCTTCCTTGGGCGTGTCTTACTTATTTGGGCGTGTCTTACCTTCCTTGGGCGTGTCTTACCTTCCTTGGGCGTGTCTTACCTGCCTTTGGCGTGTCCTATCTACC